GAATATTCCATGTCCGTATCAATATTCTTTTCCGAGAATATTCATATTGAATATTTATAAAATATTCCTAAAACATTCAAAATTTAATTGAACATTTTGAATGTTCTAGGAATATTCTTTTCAGCAGAGGACACTGTACGCCTGTGCTGCGATCTGTGATTAATCAGAGTAAATTCTTCCTCATAGTCATGTGACCAGTTACGTGACCACGCGTCTCGATCTTGTATGTTTTCCGCCATCTTTGTCCTCAAGGAGACAGTTATAATTTCACATTCGTCCAAGAAATCATGATAATTTAATCCACTGAAGTAAAACATAAATCCAGAGGACACGAAGAAGAATTTTCTATGTGGAAGAAGTCTATCTAACAGAATTTTCTATGTTGATTCTCTATTCCATGTACTGTGTGTTTTATAGGTTTGTTTTACACTTTTTCTCGAATCTTAATATCTTGCACATATACATATATATATATATATATGGACCAGTGCGGGAATTTACTTCCAACTTTCGGCCGATTTTCAGTTTGGTACTCGCTCCTTTACTTCATCAACCTGCACACAGCTAAATGTCGACCGGCAATGAATGCGTGCGAATTGGTGAAGAAAGGTGTGGAAATCAAGCTGAAAATCGGCTAAAAATTTCAAGTAAATTCCAGCACTGATATAGATATTCCTATTATATTCTTAGAAGATTCTGTAATAACATTCCTATAAATTCTTAGAACACTCTATGATGATTTAGTGGAACATTCTGTGGATTTTTCTGGAATTCAGAAAATAGTCCCAATTTATCATGCTATGAATATTTTTAGAAGGTTCTTTTCATTTTATACGCTTCTTTTGAGAATATTCCAAAATTCTCAAAAAATATTTATAGAAGATTCCTAGAACGAAATTGTGCTATCTGGGTATAGACAGTAATGCTTGGGTTCGGGGCGGCGTAGCCACTGTCTACATGGGTTACAAATATTCCAAGCGGACACTGTCTAAGCACTACTACATACGTTTAATTTATTACACATAGTCGGTATGACAGATTTCCTAACCTCCATAGTCGTCAATTTTAACGCTAAATATCTCGGTTCGCGAGGCAGAGCGACACTTTTTTCTGCCAGATTCTTTCGTTTCATGCAAAAACGCGTCGAATGAGCCTAATTTTATCGAAATTGGAGGTGAGGGAGGCATTCTGAATAATTACCGGAATAAATAATAAGATTTTGACCTATTAGGGCCTGAGCACAATAGAGGAACAAAAATTAGATATTAAGATTTTAACCTATCAGAAACTGATTACATCGGAATACACAGTTTCTGATAGGTTGAAATCTTAATATCTAATTCTTGTTCCTCTATTGTGCGCAGGCCCTTAGGAACCATGTTTTCCGGTATAACTGGTTTCTGAAAGGTTGAAATCTTATTATAGGCTCTCTAATTTGCACTACACTATAACCATTAACTACGGAAACACGCTACATTGTCGAAGTGTTGCACTGGTGGGTGATATTGCAGCCAAGAGAAAACAAACACTATAGGTCAATAGAGAAAAAGAGAAGCGAGAGGACTGATGGCTCCTGCACATTAGACGCGGAAATGCTTGCCGCGTGACAAAAAGTGATGCGGTAACCAATGAGGGGGTGATCCCGATTGATCACGGCTCGATTGGACACCACCAATCACAGCGACCAGTGCTTAGGAGCTTTGTAGTCTCAAGCGCTGTGAGTGGTTAGTGTCCAATTGAGCCGTGTCCAACTGGGTGCCATCCACCAATGAGCATATTATGAACTATAAGTTTATTGGCTACCGCATCACATTTTGCCGTGCGACAAGCGTTTCCGCGTTCAGTGTGCAAGAGCCATGAGGAGGCGTTCTAAATGTGAATTTCTGATAGTGATACATTTAAATTTAAATTTACTTTACTGCTGTTAACACTTCTATGCGATTAGATTAATCGTCGATTAATCTAATTAGAAAAAGGCCCTTAACAGAATTGTACAGAATAAGGACAATTGTTAGATTCACACTGCATTTGTCGTATAATGACTCTGCAACCAATCAGAAAACAGGATTTTGCTTTGTATCGCTGATACGATTTTTTTGATTGGTTGCAGAGTCGTCATACGACGCACATCGGATGCAGTGTGAATCCAGCAACTGATTTGGCATTCTCTTTCTCTCTCCTGGGGTGCGTTCCAAAACTTCACTCTATCAACTTCTTTATCTTTTGTCCTTGTTCATCATTCAATGAACAACAAGGATGGTCATACCCTACGTTTCCACTGAGCGCGTCACGCGTCGCATCATAAAAGAGAGAAAGAGAGAAGTATATATAAATATACACAACCCCTCTCTTTCTCTCTTTCATGCGACGCATGCGGCCGAGGGGGTGATCCCGATTGATCACGGCTCGATTGGACACCACCAATCACAGCGACCGGTGCTTAGGAGCTTTGTAGTCTCAAGCGTTGTGAGTGGTTTGTGTCCAATTGAGCTGTGTCCAACTGGGTTCCACCCCATTCGGATAGGTGACCGCTTCGAAGTATTATGAAATTAAGTTCCCGAATTCAGGAAAAAAAATTTTTTTTGTTCATCATAATTTTATGATGTGTACTCTGGAATAAGATAATTAATCAATAATAATACTCATTTTAGCAATAAAACTATAAAATTAATTAAGTTTAGTAACATACGTACCAAAAGTACGGTGTACCGGTACTGTACCTTTTAGGTACGCACGTACATACCTGACAGGTACAGTATCGGTACGCTGTACGCTCACCGTACTAATACCGTGGAGGTATTTTGCTATCTGGGTTATTTAATAACATTCGTACCTAATGCGGCGTCTACAATGAGATTTTAAGACGTTAAACTTAAGCTTTAAGCCTTAAGTCTTAAGAAATTAACCAATCACAGTCAAATGTGAGGAGAATAATCGACTATGATTGGACATTTTTTTACGGCTTAAGGTTTAAAACTTTATAGCGTTTTCGGCCCGACCAGGTTTGCACCAACCTGGGTTGGATAGTTTTACGCCTTAAAGTCTTATTGTAGACGCCACTTAAGGCGTACATTATTGGTACGGCGTATTAAAAGTACGGTGTACCGGTACTTTACCCTTGAGATACGCACGTACCTGACAAGTATGGTATCGGCACACATAGGGTGCGTTCAGAGAGCTCACTACCAGTGCTATGTAGCGTTACCACTGTTCAGGGAGTTAACTGATAGCACTATGAAACACTATCGTGACGTTATTGTTGGGGGTGGCACCCAGTTGGACACGAGCCACTCACAGCGCTAGAGACTACAAAGCTCCTAAGCACCGGTCGCTGTGATTGGTGATGTTCAATCGAGCCGTGATCAATCGGGATCACCCCATTCGTGTGCTCTATGAACAGCGATAGTGTAGTGAATACTGAAGTGAACATTGTTGGCTGATACTTTGATATTAATGATGGCAATAGTATTCATTACACTTAGCTTTTAAAATGGATTACGTGGAAATGGAATTGCGCGATAAAGAGTTACAGGAAAGTTATATGTTAAAATTGAGTCCAACGGATGTCATTAAAGCAAAAAATTATAAGGTTATGGTTGTCCAATATTTTGTAATTATACAGTTTAGCTCAAAAATCAATAAAATTAGACTAGTTCAACGCGTTTTTGCATAAAACGAAAGAATCTAGCAGAATCTAAAGAATCTTGCTCGTGCTCCATTTTGCCGTATATGGTATGGTTAGGGCAAACACTACACTTAGGGTGATGTCCCATGCAGCGGATCGTGCG